AGAACATCGAGTTCAATTTTAGAGAACGGGTCCAAAACTTGTAAATATACTTATATCTTTATATCTATATGGCACAGATGTCCATGTTTCCACTTTCCATGCATGCATTTCTCTTGTTCCAAAAGATGTTTGTGCTATGCTAAATGATTTTCTTGATTACCTTTGTTTGACCTGGCATCATCATAATCCTGAACCACAAATCTATATTTACAGAAATACTGGAGAATGACCATGCACGAATATATCTATAGTCACATATATTTATTACGAGAATGTAGCTCAAAAATTTTTGAGATAGTATTCATATTACTAACTCATTATTTTTATGCTTTTATAATATGTACTGAATCAAGAACGTTAACGCAAAGTCAAAGGTGGTATTACCTATACAGTACAAAAAGAATTCAGAAATGAAGGAAGACCGCCCACCATCGCCACATCCAGCTGAACCAGAATATAAGCCAGAATCAGAACCAGTTAAAGTAGAAGCACCTATTTCAGAACCACCCGATCTACTGGTAATCAATTAGAATATTGACAGGTTCATAATATTGAGCTTTTGTTTGTTTTAGTAACTCTCTTCTTTGAACAATTTTTGAGCTTCTCATCGACCACATTTCTCTATTATAAAGGGTCTGGACGATCCTATTCCAGCTGACCATAGTAAAATAAACAAGGAAATTCCAAGGAAAATTCCTGAGAAGGCCTGGTACATGAACCCAGTTTTCTCTATCATAATTGGAGGCATACTCCCATTTGGTGCAGTATTTATCGAGCTGTTTTTCATTCTAACATCAATCTGGTTGCATCAGTTCTATTACATTTTCGGGTCCCTCTTCCTTGTGTTCGTAATCCTAATCATCACCTGTGCTGAGATTACAATTGTGCTTTGCTATTTCCAGCTGTGCAGTGAGGACTATCTCTGGTCGTGGAGATCATATCTGACATCAGGGTCATCAGCACTCTACCTCTTCCTTTATGCGTCTTTTTACTTCTTCACAAAGCTCGACATCACAAAAGCAGTATCCGGTGTTCTATACTTTGGGTACATGCTGATTGCTTCATATGCTTTCTTCGTGCTGACTGGTACAATTGGTTTCGAGAGTAGTATGACGTATGTGTTAGGTTCAACAATTTCAGTGTTTATTTGTCTAAATTATGATTTTTCATTTTCTGATTTCTGTTAAAAAGCATGTGGTTTATGTTAATGTTTTTATAGAGGAATGTTAAAACTATTGCTTTGTTGACTTTATGACTAGGAAATGTGGGTTAATCTTTTCCTATTAGTAGTTGTTCAGATGCCTTTATTCATGCAATACTCATTTACAGATTTGAGTAATGTAGCCCCTGTTTGTTGTGCATTATTCCACCAAAACTAGAAAAAATTGGACCATTATTGTACCTTCTAGCAGGCCTTTATGCTTGGAGTTTTAACAATTAAGAGAAAGGAAAGAACACTCCATGGTAGAATTTAATATTACTTTGGAAGATGATGGCAACTTTTTGCCATTCCGTCTTTTCCTCTTTATACTTTTATTTTCTTTATGTTCATTTCACCCTTTGCTGCAATAACTTATTTGAATCAGTAATTTTTATGTGTAGACGACTCAGAGATCTCTGATAGTGCTATGGTTTCAACCATCAGGATCTCAATGAAAGGCAAGAAAAGCATGCGAAGCTTGTTCTTTCAACAGTGAAGATTAGATATATCCTGCTAATCAGCAACACCTATGGTAATGGTTCAGTGGGATTACTCCTTTGGTAGGTTCAATTCTCCATTTCTTTGGGGATAACATAGAAAGTTCTTATGTTTATTCACTATTTAATTTGGGTAGTGAAATCTTAGGTCAAAGCTTTTTGCCATGTATTTTCAACAGAGTTGACGAGAGATAGAAATTCAACTTAAAGGTACATATCACTTTTTGTAACTTAGATTAATAAAAATTCTCATTACATCCATTCTTCGATTTGTACAAACTTTCTTTTTTCTGGTAGATATTATCTGTGCTGTTCTTCTTTTATTAATTGGCAGTTTGAATCCTTGCAGATATTTGTCAATGCATTTCATGACCATTGGGTTCCATTTTCAAATAGATGATGACTCCATTCCAATCCAGGTTTTATCTTCAACCAAACATTAGTTAGTCCCAACAATCTTTATGGTTGTATAAACCCATATATAATCTTCTCAACTTGTTACATTACATCACCCAATACACGTGCAACGCACGCGCCTTCATTTTACGGTGCATGTTATTTAATTTCTTACTATAATAATGTATTCTGTATATGTTTCTTTTAATTCAATAGCTATCCCATAAATTACTCCAAATTTA